CGGCAATGGTCATGGGGGGATGTTAGGCTGGGCAGGGAGGGAGGGAGGGAGGGAGGGAGGGAGGGAGGGGGCATTAGCGAGTGGTTTGGATGATTTGCAGGCGGGTATGCGATCGTATTTCCGTAAAGGAAAATGGAAAAAAAAAAAAAAACAAACAGGAAAAAAAAGAAACGAGGTCATTCTATGCGTCCGTGGATGTAAGGATGATCGTGTGGCTGATGATTTTACGTCTGATGCTCGTGCTTTTTTTTCCACCTGCATTTAATTGAACGGATTCGCGCTCTTCGATACGCTGCCTGTGAACCAAAGAGGGGGGGGACTAAAACAAAATCGAATTGCTGACGACCTACAGTCATCATCATACGCTACCTGCTTTTTTTTTTTTGTGGCGAGTATTGATGGGAACGATCAGGGCGCACGCTGAGAATCTCTTGGGCAAAAAAAAAAAAAAAAAAAAAAAAAAAAAAAAAAAAACTCTTGGGCCACCTTATTCGCCAGAATACATCGTACGGTCATTATAGTAGTTATGTATTTGGGGTATCTTTCAGTCTAAGTACAGCTATAATGCCCGTACGTTGTATTCGGGGGAAGAAGGTAGTCTGTCACAAGCCAAGAGAATTGTATTGGCAATATCTCTCCTCTTTTTTTTTTTCTTTCTTTTTTTTTTTTCAAGAAAGGACAAAGGGCGACGGCATTGAGCTTTCATCATTGAACCGACCGGCCCCAGGTATTTTAGAATGATTTTATTCTGTCTGGTCATCTGATTGTATCTGGATTCGAACTTGGGTCTGATTCATATTTCATCACTTCGTGGGTGTACCAACTGAGCTAGGCCCGCTGGTCGACATCACTTCTCGAAAGGTTTTGAGATGATACTTCACGTAGGGTAGTTTCGACATTCTTTTTTTTATTCTTTTTTCCCCGAAATTGCACTTTTATCGACATTCTAAGTCACTGCGCACTTCCTTTTTTTTTTTCAAAATGCAATTCACTGCGCGCTTAGCCAAGCTACCGTCTTCACCCGAATAGAACGGCCGGACATTATCGCTGCATCTGGACTGACAGTTGGGCCAAATGCAATTATAATGACCGGGCGTTCTATTCCTGTGAAGACGGTAGTGAATGAAGTCGCCAGACAAATTCGAAAAAAAAGGGCGGGATCGGGACGGGACTGGGAACCGTGCCTCATGCATCCACCCCGGTGCTTCGTGCATGCACCCACGTGCCTGGTGCGACCACTCAGTGACGTGCGTGCTTCATGCATCCACACACGTGCCCACCTTCATCCACCTGTATGCTTCGTGCATCCACCCACGTGCTTCGTGCATCCACCCACGTGCCTTGTGCAGCCACCTGCATGCTCCGTGCATCCTCCTACGTGCTTTGGGTGGACTTTTTCAGCACGGATTTGCTTCATGCATGTCCACCCACGTGCTTCGGGTGGGCTCGTTGAGCACCCGCTTGCTTCATACACCCACCTACGTGCATCCACCCACGTGCTTGGGTGTACTCTTTGGGCACCCAATTGCTTTATGCATCCACCCACGTGCATCCACCCACGTGCTTTGGTGCAACCTCTCAGCTGCTTCGTGCATCCCCTCAGGTGCTTCATGCATGGACCTGCATGCATCCACCCAGGTACTACGTGCATCCACCTGTGTGCCTCTAGTGCCCACGTACTTTGTGCAGGTCCATGCAGGGACCTGCATGCATCCACCCACGTACTTTGCGCAACCACCCGCATGCTTCAGGATCCACCCGTGCATCCACCCGTGCTTCATGCATCCACTCTTATGAGCTGTAGCCTGGTGATTGAGACACGTGTGACTCACTCCTGGAACTGCTAGACTAATTTGGTATTTCGCCCCATCCCAATAGTATGTGTACACCCTGCACTCGGTTGATTGCTGTATGAAATGCGAATAATTAGCTAGACGGAATTCTTTAAATAGTTTGCCCTAACTCTCTCCCCCGTCTAAGTTATTGAATCTTTATGTCAAAAAAATGTTGATCATTTCTGCTGGCCTTTATCTTCTGCTAAAATCTGGTCGCATAATGGCTAAATATGAAATTCGACCTGACGGATATGATATCATTGTTATCATAACTGGGAAAAAGAAAAAAAAAAAGATATCATACCTGACGAAGTGTCTATTCAAAATTAACTGGGCAAAGGAGTAATTTCCTCACTCTTGTCTGAATTTCCAGGCAAAAAAAAAAAACAAAAAAAAGAAAGGCTGCCAAACGAACCATAAAGGTGGTACATTTTGACCCTATCCCCGGGGCCGAGGTCCCATTAGCAAAGAGGATCGGATCGAATGCCTGAATGTGGACGTGTTTTATGCAGAGATGCAGAAAAGCAGTTCAATCTCGATTTCCTGCACCTCTCGACAAACACGTCCAGATTCAGGCATTCGATCCGATCCTCTTTGCTTGTGCGACCACGGGCCGGGGGCGTGGTCCCACCTGCGCATTTTCGTTGTAGGAGGCTAGGCTACCA